ATATATGTCAATCTCTCTCTTGGCTTCTAATAGGTTTAACTGATCTGCTTTAGCTGTGTCAATACTATTCTCTTTTTCAATTCAGTTCAGTTGCTCAATCATGTCTGACTCTTTGCGACCCCATGAATCACAGCACGCCAGGCCTCCCTGTCCATCACAAACTCCCGGAATTTGCTCAAACTCATGTCCATTGAGTCGGTGATGCCATCCAGCCATCTCATCCTCTGTCGTCCCCTTCTCCTCCCGCCCCCAATCCCTCCCAGCATCAGGTTCTTTTCCAATGAGTCAGCTCTTCGCATGAGGTGGCCAAAGCACTGGAGTTTCAGCTTCAGCATCAGTCCTTCCAATGAACACCCAGGATGGATCTCCTTTAGGATGGACTGGTTGGATCTCCTTGCAGTCCAAGGGACTCTATACATACATACATACATACATACATACATATATATATATGTGTGTGTGTGTGTGTGTGTTTGTGTGTGTGTATTGTTATTATTTAGTTGCTAATTCATGTCCAACTCTTTTGTGACGCTATAGACTGTAGCCCACCAGGCTCCTTTCCATGAGATTTTCCAGGCAGAATGCTGGAGTAGGTTGCCATTTCCTTCTCCAGAGGATCTTCCTGACCTAGGGATCGAACCCACATCTCCTGCATTGGTAAGTGGGTTCTTTATCACTGAGCCATCAGGGAAGGCCCTATGTATATGTATATATTTGCGTAACCAATTCACTTTGCTGTACACCCCAAACTAACACAATATTGTAAATCAACTACACTTCAATTAGGAAAAAAAAAAAAAAAAAGGAAATCAAATCTCCAGAAAACATGCCTCTTCACTTTCTGCTTGAGAGTTTTCTTGTATTAAAATGGGATCTGCAAGACCGAGGCAGAGGAAAAGAAACTGATAGCAACTGTACTGCTTGAAATCCCCAAAATTCTCTGGGGAAACAGAGAAGCATAAGGAGAATGTATCCTCCCACCTTCAGCTGACAACAAACTCTCCAGCTATCCAGTACGGGAGAACGGCCTTCATGTCCTTCGATGTCAGAAGAATCAGTTTTTATATCTCTCCAGTTTCAGAAAGACCACTCCCAAGAGTGTTCCCTGCTGATAATGTAACTAAGGTTTGCCCTCCACCCTTCCTCTGTCTCTCTCTCTCACACACACATGTGTACACACACACACATACACATACAGGGTACTCAGAACTGGGAAAGGTGTGAGGCAGACAGATACTCTCATGTACTCTTGGTGGTTAGGTAAAACAATTTAGAAATTTCTATCAAGACTTCTCTTAATCAGGATCTCCACTTCCAAGAAATTGAGACAGAAAGGCTGTGTGAAGCAGAGTGATGAGTGGGAGCTGTAGGATTTAAGGAAGAGTTTAGTCTGATAAACTGATACACACTGGGAGGGGTGTGGGTGTCTGGAGCCTGCAGGCAGTTTGCGGTTGTGTTGAGGGTCCTTTGTGGGCACTGCTGGCTGCAACATGGCTTGAGATAAGAGAGCAGTGATGCAGCATGCGATGCTGCAGGGTGGTAGGTGGCACCTGACCAGGCCGGCACAGTGACCTATGCTGTGACGGCTTGCAGGTCCCAGGGCCAGCCTCCTGGAGTCAGGGCCAGTCTGGAAGCTGAGAGCTGGGGCTGACTCCGTCCTGGCCCAGGCATCATTTGACAGGCTCTGCAGGCTTCCCACTCGCTGGCAGGTCAGCTCCGCAGCTTGGCTGCCTCCATGGTTTCCATCGTTCCACTCATCACAGTGTGTTTTGAGGACCTGATACATGAGGTGGTTTGTGAGCTTAGTTGTTTCCAACTCTTTGCGACCCCGTGAACTGTAGCCTGCCAGGCGCCTCTGTCCATGGGAATTCCCAGGCAAGAATGTTGGAGTCGGTTGCAATTTCCTCCTCCAGGGGATTTTCCTGACCCAAGGATCGAACCCTCGTCTTCTGTGTCTCCTGCATTTCAGGCATATTCTTTACTGCTTGAGCCACCAGGGAAGCCCCCTACTAACTGAGAGATGATATTAAAAGTAAGATTTCTGTATGAATATTGTGGATTATCATCCACAGGATTTGAGTCTTTTAATCTTCTTAGGTTAAATTCTCAGATGTCCTAGGGTGTCTTTAATTTTTTGGTCAGAATTCAAGATAATTCATCTTAAATCACTTTAATTTAAACAAATAAGTAATTGACAGCTCCATTTTTAAGGAGGACTGCTGAAATAAAATAGAGAACTCCGAGACCATACGTTAATATTCAGAGACACACTAGGGAAATGTTTAGAATATTCATTTGCTTAACACCAAAAGGACATTCATTACTTAACAAATAAGAGACATTTAAATCAATGAAAATTACCTCACTAAGGCTCACAGAGTCCAGTTAGGTAAACTCTTATTCTTATCTTCCGGGGTGAGGGGACTGAAGCCAATCCACTTGCCTAAGACTAGACAATAGAAGCGGCAGAGCCAGGGTTTGAACTCAGTTCACCCCAGCATCAGTCAGCTTGTTTACCTGCCCAATGTGGCAGCCAGTCACTGGGCTCAGCCTGGCATCTCAGCATGCTGTGAATTCTCGGCTGTGCAAATGTTCCCAATCACACATGAGGACATTTAATCTCTTCTGTGATCTACGGAGCCGCTTGGTAAATGGAAGCAGAATTACAGAGATGAGTCATTCCATGTCAACAGACAAACTGTAACAGAGTTTTTACTACTATTTTATTATTTATTTGTCCAAAAAAAGCCAGTGGGAAGAGTAAGGCAGCAGAACCCCCTGATGGCTGTTTCCTCATCTGGAGCTTCGTGTGTGTGTGTGTGTGCGCGCGTGTGCACGCCTGTGTGCGTGTGTGTGTGTGTGTATGTGTGCGCCCAGCAGTGTGTTGTGAGCATGTGTGTTTGTGCACTGGTCTCCCATTCTCTTTTTTTTTTTCTGGATTTGATAAATATTTATTGGATAAATAATAATGCCACTATAATTTCTAAAAGACTTACACAGATTCCACCAACACACCACTAATCTAAGTTCTTACAGGTTTAACATTACACAGAGACTTCAAGATAACCTAGGAGTCTTTGGCTCCATTTAACAGAAAAAGGACCGCTGGGGGTCATTTCACCTCTCTCAGTCTCGGTCTTGTCTTCTGGAAAAGGGGCCTACAACTGCTTCCTTTCCTAACCCCCGGAATGGTTCTGAAGACCAAAAGCAATCATGTAAAATAATTTTACATACTATTTTTTGCACTTACCCAAACATGTTTAAGAATCCACATAAAATAACCTATAACAGGCTTATTTATAACAATATGTACACATACCATGTATTTTTGCTTTATGTATACTCATATAAATTACACATACAGTTCAATCTGAAAACAGTCACCAGTCTACAAAGAATCATTAGCTGAGACAATTCACAGTAGGCATACTCCCCTTACAAATACAAAGAAGTACAAGGGGTTTTGCAATTAAAAGTAGACATACTGCTTTACTATCTGCATTGTTTTCATTTTTGGAAGCAGAGCAAAGGGTGACCAGAAGGTGGGAAGTTGAAGGAGGGCTGATGAGTAGTGAAGACAGGCAGAAACAGAAAATCTGAACAAGGCCACCAGAAGGAAGAAAATGAAGGCAGAAACTAAGATTCCAAAAAGTTGCCTTGCGTACAATTGCACCATCCTGCATCAACTGGCTTTCTTTTATTTGATGTCCTCTGATCAGTTCTCCTTCCAGCACAAACTGGAGAAAGCAAATCCCTCTGCTATTCTGGAGTCTTCTGATATAAATTACAGGTCTGCATCAAGATATGTGGAGCAAGGATGACGACTGACTTGTGCACCTGGGAAAGTTCAAGGCAGTATGGTCTACTTCTGGAAAGGCCTGGATTCTCTTTGATTCCAGTGGGAAAAAACCCCAGCCCCAGCAATGCCCAGAACGGACAGTAGAAGGCAGATGGGCACTGGCTTCGGGAAGATGCACGGACAGATCAGTTCTTCACTGTCGTCTGAGTCTCCTCTGCTGCCCCCTCTGTTAACGGACAGGATGGGACTGTCCCGCAGGAAGAGCAGGTGGCCTTGACTCGGCTGAGTACAAATCACTGACTGAGGATCAGCAGCTGGCAGTCCTGGAGTCTCCGGACTTCAATGAGGAAGCACAGTTACAGTTCTCCCAACTCGCCTTCCATCGCCCGCACCATGACGTAGAGCTCGGCCAGACCCACCGCAGAGGCCACCATCAGGCAGCCAGTACCCGCGAGGTCATTTCTCTGAAGATATACTGGCTTCCAAGTAAGTGCAGACAAAGGCAGCCGCCACCGTGACAATGAAGTTGAAGACGGTGATGACCAGAGCCTTCACTGACCTCACTTGCTTTCCCAGGTCACTGAGAGTTCCGCCGTGCCTTGGATCCTGACAGGTGACATTGCGGGTGATCCGCTTATATTCCTCATTGGCCAGCTGTATCTTAATCTTTTCCAGATGAGCAACTAGCTCTGGGTTCCGAGGAGGCTTCACCACCTCTGGGATATAGATTTCACTGCCTTCTAGGAGCTCATGAAGGTATAGTTTGGAACCCCTTTCTCTCAAATACTGATGCAGATCCCGGATCAGGCGGAAAGAAACCAGGCGAGCCGGGCGATTGCTGCCCTTGTTCTTCTTCCCTATCGCGGCCTCAAGCTCTGCCCGCAACTTCCCGGGTAGTTGCTCTGGCTCCAGCTCCCCACCAGGACCCAGAGCACCTACAAATCGCTCGCCAGCTAACAAGCAAGACGCCATGACTAGCCCTGGTCTCCCATTCTCTTACAGACACTCATGCTCTCTGAGAGTGGGGGTTGGACATTGTTTGTGTAGAATTATATTTTAGGAGTCTAGAGTCTTTATTTGTGGCGGGTGTACGTTAGTGTGTGTGAGAGAAAGAAGACATTGTGTGCGCTATTGAGAATGTGCCTACTGAAATAACTCGTCTGTAACCCCTGAGATCCTCAATTCCTTCATCCTACCCTTTATATTCTCCCCCTCCCCATTTCTTTTTTTCTGTGCTTGTGAGATCTCAGTTCCCCAACCCGGGATCTAACCCAGGCTCTCGGCAATGAAAGCTTAGAGTTCTAACCACTGGGCAACCAGAAGTCTTCCTTTACAGTCTCTCCTTTACCAGAGGAAATGCACAATGACCTAACCTCTCTTTAGTCCTGAGATTCCAAAACAGGTGCCTAGTTTTGACCTTAGCCAAAGACCTCTCTGGTGCCCAAACACTCAGCCTCCAAGGCCCCTCTCCTTCCCCTGTCCAAGGCTGATGACAGGGCGTCCCCCAAAGCTTGGCTGTTGAGAAAATTAATCAGCATCTCTCAGGGAACCTCTCTGATTGAGGATGTAGCATGCACAGCTGCAGAGAACACAGAGGCTCTCAGACTCACGCAGCTCAAGCTCGTCTTCTGACATGATGGTCCCTAAGTTTGAAATATAAACTTTGACTTCTGTCTTGTTTCTGTCTGAGAGAAGAGAGAATAGGCTGTTTCTGGATCTTGGGTTGGCCCCCATCTTCTCATCTTCTTGCCCCTTCTCTAAAGATGGTAGGGTTCTTTCTGGAAACCTTTCCTTGGGTTAGCATCATGGTATTACATCTAGTGGTTTTACATCACGTATTACATGTAGATTGGAGGCTCAAAGCGGTGATGCCAAGGGGTATAAGACACAGTCCCTACCCTATGGGGTCAATAAGAAGAGGTAGCAATTAAGTAAAGTCCAATAAAAATATAAGGTACTGAGTACTTTTATTCTGGGACATATTTGCCCTCTAGAATGTGAGGTCCTATTAGTATTTATGTCTTTCTGCTACATCATCAGTTACTGCAGTGCAGGGATTACAATAGATACTAAGTAAATATTTATTCAAAGAAGAAAAAATGAATGAACCTAGAAACACCACACCTCAGTCACACTGATCCCATTAAAATTCAACTAACATATGTTGAGAACTTACTACAAGTTAAATATTATATTGGGGAAGATTCCAAATTCAGAACTCCTTCTAGCACATTGCCTTGCTTTTCTTTCCATTTCACCCATTTATTTTGTCTTTATCTCTTCTGTGCTGCTTCACCCTCTCCCCGCTTTCTCTCCTTAGGAGATGGCCCTCTCTTGGCCCTGTGGCCTCTACACTCAATTTTCTGGACCATCCAGAAAGGTCACTGCCTCTTAGCCCCAGATTCTAAATAGACATGCTAAGCCCAATGCTGCTTGACAGTAAGGGCCAAACAAACGTGAGAGGAACCTAGCTCCATTGGTTTCCCCTTACCAAAAATGCATTAATAAAGTTAATTAGCACTGACCTGAAAAAAAATCTGAACAATAACCTTCTGGCATTAGGATCAAATGCAATGAAGCACAAGCAATAAAAACTCCATTACTGCTCCCCTCTGAGCAACTGTCACTGATCCTGGGGCCGAGAGGGAGGGGACAGGCTCACATCATCCAGGGCTCTGCCTGCCTCCTCCCAGCCTCTCTGTGAGACCGGAGCTCCAGCTGGCGTGTCAAAATGCAGGCAGGTGTGAAGGTGAGACGAGCTGGGCCCCGGGTAGGGTCGTTGCTGCTGTCCAGTCACTAAGTCTTGTCTGACTCTCTGCGACCCCAGGGCCTGTAGCCCGCCAGCCTCCTCTGTCCATGGAATTTCCCAGGCAAGAATACTGGAGTGGGTTGCCATTTCCTTCTCCAGGGGATCTTCCCGACCCAGGGATAGAATCCCCGTCTCCTGCTTGGCAGGCGAATTCTTTACTATTAGTGCCTCCTGGGAAGCCTTATAATTAATATAGAAAATATAAGACACACAGATGTCTAGAGCTAACACAGGCTTGGTTTGGGCTATAGTCAATATATAAAAGGTCCAGAGCATGGGCGAGGCAGGAGGCCATCAGGGATGGCAGTCACCTCTCTGCTAGTTGAGGCTGGGGGTTGGCAGATGCTCAGGGAGTTGAATAATCAGGTGCCCAGGACCCTTGCCAGATACAGCAGAAACCTGGCCCAGGGGAATAAGGGTAATTCTAGACTGCATCCTCTGGCAGGCCAAGGTGACTAACTCATTGTTTCCTCTAATCAGAGTTGGTTTGGAAATTGGGCCAGGATATGTCTGTTATTGACCCCAGCTCCAAGGCAGTGGTTCTCTGCCCACCAAAGCCCCCACCTGACACTTCCAGTGACCTCATTTTATCACTGAATTTCTTTTTCTATACTATGCCAGGCATTGAGGAACTGTGATGTGGAGACACAAATATAAGACCCACTATTCATCTCGTAGTGGTCCCCATTCTAGTGGGGTTTAGTCAAGAACTCACTGGATTTCTGTACCCTTTTCATACTTCCCTCTACCCTTATTCTTCATGAAACTATGAAATATTGGAGGGAGCATTCCATGTTGATATTGGGCCACCTGAATCTCTCCAATCCATCGTTCCATTCCTGAGGGCATGACTGGGAGTCAGAATGGAGGTGCTGCTGGATCAAATCTCATTCATGCCCCTCAGTTATATATATACCATGTGGGGTGCTCATGGCTCATGGGGCCCTGCGTGAGCCCACAGACTCAGAAAAGTAACAAGAGCTGATGCACTTGCCCTTTTGGAATAGGTCCAGGAGGTCACTCTTTTTCAGAAGTTGCTACAAACTCTAGAGGGAGATTTGCTCAGGTGGAAGGAGGGCATGGGGAATATGAAGGAACAGAGTCAGAGAAAGTATCTTCACTATGCAGCTCTTGAAAAATACATACATTGGTCCAAAAGTCACTGTAGGGAGATACTCAGAAGTGACAGGAAAGATGAAGAGTTAAAAGAAGGAGAAAGACAATGCAAGGTATCTTCGATGTGGGGAGAGAGTGGGAACTTCCTGAGAACACAAGTAAATCCTTAAAATATCTAAAATAGACATATAGTAAGTGCCCTATATACGAATGGGTTCTGTTCCAAGAGCAAGTTCCTAAGCCCAATTGTTTGTAAGGCTGACCATTAGCCTGGGTACCCAACTAACACAACTGGCTATTTAGTACTATACTCTAAGAGGTTTATACTTTATACACAAATAATACATAACAAACACTAAAAATAAAGAAATCTTATAGCACAGCACCTTGAAAAGGGCAGTAGTCCGGTACAACAGCTGGAGCTCGCATCGAGTGAACAGGCAAGAGGAGTTACTGACAGGAGGAGGGAGTGGAGGTGGGAGATGGAAGAGCTGAAGGATCATCAGCAATAGGAGATGGAGGGCAAGCTGTGGTTTTACTCACACCTGGTGTTGATGGAACACAGTTTCACATCTTTGGAAGTTTGTAACTAGAAGATTCATATGTGGGGGCTTGCTGAATTTTGCTTGTGAACTAATACTCAGTGTCACCAAAATGAAATCTGAATACCCACAAATGCACCTTTGGAATGCGTCAACCAACAGTATGAGAAAAAGAGCTGTAAGATCTTGGGAAATCTATTGCCTCCTTGTCTGCATCCATCCACTGTCTTAGGTCTGATCTGCCTCATTTGCAAATAGGCACCTAAGTGCTCTCTTTGCCTCTCATCTGCCTCCCACCTGGCCAGAATTGTCTTCTCAAAACACAGATGGGGTGTCTGTTTAAGAAGACAGTAAATGCTCCCTGACATGCAAGGGTCTGCAAAAGTGATCTCCTTCTTGCTTTCTGTCTCTGATCCACAGACACCAGACTCACTGTTTCTTGGTTGCTCCTTCCTCTGTCCCTCCTGAGAATGAGCTGCTCTAGCAGGATGACTCGTCCATTTAGCCTGAAAGAATGAAAGAAAATTCCTAAGGGCTTTGGAATTATTTGCATACCACTCTGCTTCTGGGCTACAGGCTCCTGGAATCTACAGATACTCATATTATGATAATAATATAAAATATTTACCAAGCAATTATTATTTAACTTTGCATGCAGCATCTCATTCTAATCCTTAAGGTAGGCAATATGATTATCTTTTTTTAATAGAAAAGGAATCTGAAGGAGGGGCACACGGCAGCAGGAGCAGAGTCTAGGCAGGTTGGCTTTTGGGTCTAAGCTATTTGTGATCTTTGGAACTGCCGAGTTCACAGGGGGTCTCCAGGCACAAAGCAGGCCAGTCAGAGTTTGCAGACTGAAACAATAGGTGAACAAGAGAATAAGGGCAGGGTAAAGGAGTAAGCAATTCTGGAAAGGTAAGCCTATAGATTGGGCTGGGAATGAAACTTTAGGAAGTGTGCTTGCTCCTGCTCTCTTGATCAACTGGTCGACCTTGGAGGAGGTAGCATCTAACAGGAGAGCCCCAGAGGTGCAAGGGAGACCCCCTGTCTCCCCCAAAACCTCCCTTAGCTGCTTGATGGTGCCTGAAATTGTACCATTACAGCCTAATTCCTTTAGCTTAGGCTGCAATTCCCCTGTTAAAATGCAAATACTCCTGGGAGAGGCAAGTTATTAAACTTTATTAGTGTTTTATATCCCATGGTGGATTTATTGATCAGACCCTTTTCTTTAGAAATAGCTGGGGTAAGGGAGAAAGATGGAGACCATATAAATGTCCCAGGCTCCAGGGAATGGGGTCACTTGGAAGGCGAGGGGTGGGAGAAGCAGGGATTGAAGGAGGAATCATGAGAGCTGGGAAACCTGGAAGCAAACTTTTTTCATATGCATGGCAATAAAAGCCCAGTAGCTTGTGGCTTTGAGTGCACTGGGTGGGGAAAGGCTCACAGGCTCCAGCCTCAGAAGGACCAAGTTAGTGGATCAAGATGAAGTTCTAACTCATTGTAGGAGCCTTCCCAGCCTCTGTCTTATCTGAGAGAATAGCATCAATGGCAGCACTGTAACCACTGCCAACAGTTTTTGCAAGTGCCTTGTGGACACCCTGAGGATGACTTCCCGTGTGGTGTTCCTGGAAATCCTTCCCACCCATCCAGTCCAGTGGCAGAGCCCTGAGCCACCCCCTTCCTGCGTGAAGCTGCTCACTTGCAGCATTGCTCTGGCTCCTTTAGCCTGGAGGTATGTCTCAGCTTCATCCTCTACCCTGTGCAGACCTTCCTCTGAAGTCCTTCCTCATCATCTACCCACTGCCTGGACTGCAGTCAGAAATGGAGTATGAGAGAGACAGAGAGAGAGAGACAGAGAGAGACAGAGACAGACAAAGGGAGAGACAGAGAGACCGACAGAGAGAGACAGAGGCAGAGAGAGACAGAGACAGAGAGAGATAGAGGGCTTAGAGAATGCACATCTGCTCTTAATTGGCTCAAACTGAAAATGGCATCTGACTTTTGCTTAAGTTTTATCAAGTGAACTAGTCTCAACCAACCATGAAGATCTACAAAGAACAATTTAGCTGTGGACTCCAACAGAAGAAATGGATTGGGTAAACTCACCAAGATTTTCCCCCTGGAAAGAGCATGTACATCTGTTGCTCTGAGAGAGTCACAGTCTAGACCACAATCCTAAGGCAAGGAAAGGAAAATGCTGTACTTAGAATAGCGTGAGACTATTCTGCGGAACAGACATTTATGACCATAATCTGGACAACGGGAAGGACTGGATTCAAGGCCTTGATACCTAGTGATAAAAACCGAAGAGAAGATGGCTCCCTCCAGAAGAATGAAAACTAGGAAACAGAATTCAAGTTCTAGAAGACTGGATCACCACAGTCAGAGTAAAACCACAATAATTTTGTTTCAGTTTGAGGCACCTAAATTTTTAAGTAGGATTATTTATTACTGCTTTTCACCACATTCTTACATATATCCTAAGATAAAGATTGGTTCTAAAGTATGAACAGCTGAATCTATCTAGGGTTAGCCTGCAGTTTTGGGAAGGATGTAGAGACAGAAGCCAAAGCACCACACTAGCAGGCCAAAAAACAAAAACAAAAAACAGAGACAATCTGAGACAGAAAAGAAGATCCATGTGCAATGGGAACAGATACTCAAACTTCTCCAGTCCCTGTTTTTGAGAATTTACTGCTGCTAAAGATCCAGGTGTGACCAAGAAACAGGATGCTCACTTCAGAGAACAGCTTACTCTCAATTGCAAGGCCCAGACTAGTCGAGAAGGTAGCATTCAAACCGGAGGGGTCAGCCCATTTCATCATCACCCTACTGGTGTTCTCCTATAAATATTTCATGCAAATCAGAGTCTAAAAATTTGACAAGAAAACAATCTAAGAGAATTAGACAGTGTCACATTTTGAAGAATACTAACTTATTTGAGGGGAGGTTGTACTAAATATAAAACAATTTTTAATGCTTTGAATTCCTAGTTCAGCTCTGTAGAATGAATACTTTTTTCTGCCTGGGCATCCTGGCTTTTTGCCTTTAACATTCCTTTTACTAATTAAAAAAAAAGAATGTGAATCAAAACTAACAACTTGCAGTAAATAGGCCTATTTTATTCTGTATTTTATGAATGATATTACATTCTCATATGCTGTGACTTGCAATAATCATGTAATCTCTTCTGCATCAGTAAATAGTGATTTATTCTTCTGAAGCTTTAATATGATTCATTTAGCAAGTAGCTTAAGTACCCATTAGTTAATGCTTTGCTGCTGCTGACCTCGGTAGATTTTTTGGTAAAGCTTTATACAGCATTTATAGGTCACAAAAATGCCAACAATGTTCATTATGGTCATTTTCCAAACTATCTGATAGCAAAATGTTTTCCCTCAACTCATTTGTATGTATATCCCTTAATTAATTCTTCACCTCATGCCAAATTATACTGAAATTCTTGTCACTTTACATGCAGCATGACATTTACACAAATATCTCCTAAATTTATCATGAGCAGTGCACACAGAATTTGTATTCTGTGACTTGAAGGCAGATAAACCATAAACCTGGACCCCAATACTTGCAGACTGAAAAGCATTAGGGAAATGAGAAAAGTGAGAATCTTTGCGAAAATTGAAAATGTTCCTTCTTTGCCATCCTCCAAGGCATCATGACAACTAATTGCTGTCAACAAACAAATGAAATTTTAGCATTTGACTGTTTAGGACATAAACACACACTGGAAATGAAAGAGTTCAATGAACAGAATTCAAAATGTTTAGATCCAAACTAATTTCTAGGTTAGGAACAACAAAGTAATTAAATCAATCATTAAATTGATTTACATGAGGTGCATCTAATACAGGAATGTTATAATAGCCCCACTTAAGTTACTAAAACAGCAAGCACATACAGTGTGTGGTTTAGGCAAAGGCTTTAGGACTTAGGTCATTTAGGCTTGCATCTTGCCTCTTCCAACTCACTGTGTTACTTTGGGCAACTTCTTTGTTACTTGAATTTCCTCATTTAGGAAGTGGTGGATGACTTCTAATAATATGAAGTCTTATGAAGTTTAAATGAGTAAATATTTACATGTAAAACGGTTCTGAACAATGCCTGGCACAGAGTAACCATTCATTAAAAGTTAGCTATTACTAGTGTTCCTAAGTGGCAATGAGATAACTTCAGAGACGTGAAGTGACTTCCAAGGTGGACAGCTGGTTAGTGGCCAACCCTGTCCTTTGAATTCCAGATCCCATTTCCCTGTCAGCCTTCTCCTAAAACTTCTCACACAAATTGAAATAAAAACAGCATGGGTTTTGGCAACATGGTTAATTTTCAATTTTGCTCCTATTCAAATGATCACTGGCTAGTCCTCTCATGTGAGTAAATTGCAGTAATTTCCCAGCTCCCAAATTTTTTTCCAGCCTTTCCTTCCCTCACCCCGAAATGCCTGAAAACCTTTTTAAATTGAAATACAATCAATTAGAACTAAGACAAGATCACATTTTCCCTAGACCTTGCCAGGAATCAACACTTAGTCTGAGAAGGGCTGACCCTCAAAAGGCCCCAGTTACATGAGCTACATTTTTTGTCACCCATTCTTAAATCACTGGATGACATGGTAGGGATTCAGTCTCCAAACTCAACAACTTTCCATTGCAAGCAAATGAAACCAGGACAAGATGTTAATAGACCATTCGTCCTGAAAATATCTGACCCCAAAATGTCTGACCATAAAGAAACCATATAGTGAAAAGTGGCACAGTGTAAAGTTACACAAAAATGACAGATCTGGCTTCCATCCTTGGCTCCACCTTCAACCAATTCACTGTCAAGTAAATGAGGTGGGGTAAGTGATACTTAGTGATATTCAGATTTAAGACTTTAATACTACTGTGAATTGTAGTTTGTTTTTCTTTTGGGGGTTCTACCTGGTGATCGCTCATAGCTTCCTGGACTATTTTATACACAATGGTTTTCTCTATGAAAGGAAAAAAATTATGGCTCTCCAAGTAGGAATTAACTTGAAAATAATCATCTTATAAAACAAACCATTTTGTAGACTATTCATTAGCTGAGGTTTTCACACAGAAATCTTTAAAACGCCTACTTAGATAAAAGAGAAAATTTAATTTTGTGGATAAAATTAGATCAATTCATCAGTTACCTATGCAATGGATATATTTCGTATATGAGGGAATATCAGATAAATCATCTTAAAAAATTTCTTTTTGAAACAGGAAGTTCTGCTAGATTTCCTTCGGAGGGGAGGGCAAGGCAGTTTTAAGATGCTTTAAAATATATTGTGTCTTTATAACATCAATAAAATATTTGCCATTTATCAAAATTATTATGATGAAGTCATTAACTTTCTGACAGTTTAGCACTATTCTTTTTTATGTTTTCAAAACTGATGGATGCCCTTTAGAAATGGATTTTCCCTTTGGTGGCCAGAACTTATCATATGTTATGATAATTAAACAACTGTGTTTAAAACATACTCAGATGCTCCTAGAATGGCCTTTGTTACTGACTCCGGACACATCTTTTCTGCAATGATGCATTATTATGAGGGTAAGTCCACTGAAACCATACTCAAGAGGAAATGAGAAAAAATGAGCAGATAGTAAAATCATGCATTATCATAGTCCAAGAATTTATATAGCATACATGTGTTTATAGAAGATATGTTCTGTTGAACTCAGACAATGATGGCAAAAAATGAACAAATCTACATTGACATAAGCCTTCTGACTTACTTCAGGTAAGGGAGAAAAAGAGAGATTATGAAGAACAAAAAAAGAGGAAAAGCTAAATTCTCCATAAATATATGTTATTACAGATTAAAGGAAAGATGATTAAGCCTGGGAGAGTTTGAGAGCCAGACAAGATTAAGATGTTCCAAATAAGTAGTATGGAAAAGCTTCTAAATATTTATAACATGTATGCTAACAAAAATTAAAGGTTTGTACTGATAAGCCCCAAGATCCATTTACATGCTAATATTTTATAAACCTGGAATAAAGTTGGGAGTTAAGTATCCATTTGAGGAATTGCTCTGATATCTTAACCTGAGATACAAAGAGGACTTACCTATTTTTTATAATGTTTAATTTATTCTTAAATATTGCTTAAAGGATTCAGAATAGTTATGGGCTCAGTTGCTAATGATTAACAGTATTTATGGTGTGTCAGAAAAAGAGTGCATGCAGAAATATTAAGGTTTTTGTCATCTCTGTTTGGTAGACATTGAGCAGGGGATAGTCATGATGAATGATATAGAGTCACTCTTCAACATCAGCATTTAGTTATTTTCTGAGTCAAATTTTACAATTGTATCTTTTTCTATTTTTGATTTGTTACAAATTTATTTTTATCTTTAGCATTTGAACACTTTTAAAGTAAGTTATTTCATCTTTGGCAGCCTCTGCCAGCT